ATTTGGAGACAGAGTCTGGGCAGTGGTTCCACCAATACACACATCGCTTGACCAATTCTGAGTCAGCGGTCAATTAAGATTAATCGTTCATATTATACTTCCTCAAATCACAGAAATCATCAACAAAAATTGGAAAGGTACAGTGTGTACAATTTAGTGACATCCAGTGGTGAGGTTGCATGTTGCAGCTGAATACCTCAAAAGGTGTTTGGTTTTTCCAGTTTGGGAAAGACATGGCGGCCTCCATAGAGAGGATCCACTCCCCAAGTAAATATAAAGTATTTAAATATAAAGGGTTAATTCTAGGGTAAAGAAAACAACAAGTTGTACAATTTAGATGAAACTCCCTTGAGTGAATGAATTAGGTACCAGAATGTATTTTGATTCAGGGCATATTTTTTCAATAGCAAAGCAGACTGTTAACCAACAAGACATTTTCTTTCTTTAGGGTTGAAGATCAAAATGTAAAGAGGTAGTTCGACAAAGTCAGGAAAAAAAAAAACTAATGTTAGACGGAAATTCATTGATATCCCGAAGTGTCTTTGCTTTTCTCTCAACACTGCTGATGTTTGCCCAGAGTTACTCTCTATGTTTGACTTATTTAGCACAGAAATGTAGAGAAATGTTTGCAAAGAAAGGGTCGGAGCCCGGATGAATTTTAAGCAGGGTAAAAAAAGTGCCCTTAACTAATTCTTTGGGGGATCCATGGCCTGTTTGAGGGCACGAGAAACAGACCTCGAGTGAAACTCTCTTACTGCTGCAGTGAAAAAAAGGAAAAACAACAGAGTAGAATAGATCTACTGGTCTTAGATCAGAAGACAAAACAAACTGCTGCTATGGGTTCAACTAAAGTTTATCCACAAACCATGCATGTCACTTTTCTATCCCATTCATTGTCTGCTGAGCATTGTACCATTTAACTCAAAAATTAAACTTGCCTCGAGACGAGTCCAAATTTTTGACTTTCTCGAAGCTGAAGGTCAAAGTGCATTAATAACTTAAGATAATCTTTAATTTTGTACTATCAGCACGATGCAGATATAGCCTAAGACCCTATTGGCTGTATTTTAGTCCCCTTAAACCGCACAGACCTGTTTTTTTACACCTTCATCTCACTAATCTGTCGAAAGCATGAGAGTGTTAGACGTTTGGAAGATAAAAAAAAAATCAAAGACTGTTGTGCTTCATCATGGCCCTGGTAGATAAGGCCTTATACTGTCACATAAAATCAGGGGCTGCCTACTGAAAAACACTCTGTCCTCAGGCTATTTCCCACCATCACCACCACTTGCTCCATACCATCTCCAAACACCACCAATTTCAACACATCAGTAAGGTGACCAAAGAAGAATTCCTTTGTGTAAAGTGTGCTACACTTTAGATTTTTATATAACACGGTAAAGGTTTCCCCATCAAATGTTAAATCGTATGTTAAAAAACATAATAAGCAAATATTTTAATGATGTGGATTTCATAATGCCTTCAGGTTACAAATTAGTAAATTATGTTGAGATCTAATTGTCAAAAACAAAGTTTTTTCTTCTGTTTTTTTTTTGTTTGAACAATATCCTCTTTGCTGCCTTGTTCCAAACATGCAATTAATAACCTTTAACATTCTCAGTGCATCTTGCGTTTAAGCGTTGGCATAGAGGACGCCTGCAGGTATCTGTGGATGACATGCGTAAAGTTAACACAATGAGGACATCAGAAAGACAAGCACATTAAGGGGACTGCGAAATTAACCAACCTGGGGCTGTGGGATATATATTAGCTGAACAAAGCAAGTTATTCCAGACATTTGGATCAGTTGATAACCAACAGAGCAAATGTTCCAATAATCGAGAGAGGGAAAGAGCCACATGCTGATGCTGTCGTTTCACACGCAGCTTGCCGTACACATACACCATGATACAAGGTTCAATTGTGAAATCATGTATCTGCATCCAAAGAGCTGCATCAGAGACAAATACAAAATGGGTGCATAATCAAACTAACATGCTTTAGCATGACAAAATCACTGTGGCTTAAGATTTTCTGTTTGACTCATTGGCCATCAAATCCAAGCCATTCATAATTCTGACAAGTGGAGGGGGGTGCTGAAAGTCACTCTTTCTAACACAGATGATTCCAAGCAATTACATGAATTAAGTTGTCAGATGGGTCCCGGGGGACGTTTGTCTTCCAGGCGGCACAAGACCAGTGGCTCTCCCTTACAAACAAAGCGCTGGACAGGAATGCAGCCACTGTCGAGATTACCAACATTTCCTAACGAGAATTTCTTTAATTTGACAAATGCATGTCGTGTCAGATCTCAGTGGGGACAGATGCCCCAGACCCACATTATATGAACAAAACTACAGTCTGTCCTTTCTCTGGACACTGAAGACATGTTTACAGATTCCAGAATGCCCCAACACTTCCTAGCTTCACCTTGGTCACTCTATAGTAATATTAACATGGTATTCTATGACATATACTAAGTTCTGTATAGTGTTCAGGGACATGAGTATATGAAGTATGTTCTGCAAGACAATCCTTTACCCTTTGCACTTTATTAGTCTCAGATTTGCCAGAGAAAATAGGCCTCCCCTGGGTGATATTGTCCTGGTAAGACAGTTTCTATCTCCAGCCTCCCTGCTGTCACTACTGTTATGCATTTCCTCCTAGCGTCCCAAGGGCTAGCCTTCACTAGGGTTGTCATTTTCAATTAGCTATACCCTCAACGCATATCTGTTGGCCCGTGTCAATAATCACTTTATTTAAGATGATGGGACAGCTGCAACTTCTAGACATATTCCATTTCCATCGACTAAATTACATTCCATCTCGCACCTGTCCCCCCCATGTGGATTTACAAACGTTTAAAGCATGTATAGCAAGCAAATAATTGATTTACATTTGATAAGGATAAGGGTAACCTCCACTCTGTGCCAAGTGAAACAGGCACAGCTGTTCGTTCCCTCCGTCTATTCCCCCGATATGCAAGTGAAGCTCTTCTGATTAGGACTGTGTCTGACTGTGACTATACATTTCTCGTTGAACTCAACCACTATCAGATGGTATCAGGAAATTAAACCAAGCGGAGTGGTGGAGTGGTCTGATATTACAATTGTTTTAGCACATTAGGTCTCATGAAATATATATCTACATTAACATTATGGCAAATGATAGCCCATTTGAAATCACAAGCATAAATTATAGTTCGGCTTCCATCAGTGAGTCTTAATTACTGCTGTAACAGAAAAGCATGGCAGCATTAGACCATAATGTATGTAACATGATTTTTACACTGATTCAGAGCAAGTGAGATTAAATATGTATCGTTACCTTCAATTTAGGCCAACATTCATATATTTTTGATAAAATTGTGGCATCCATCTCTGTCAAATCTGACACAAGTCAAACACAAATTACCTTTGTACATATGTAGAGCCTCTCTCATGGAGTACAACAACAGAAAAGCCATGACATTAAAACATGTAAAACATACCTGACATAACAAGCCAAGCACAACACACAATAATAAAACACAACTCAGACATTGCTATGGACACCACTGGTTACAGCAATGTATGCAAAGAATCAATTCAAGTTGAGGACAGTTTCTGGTCTAACTGTGAAATCATCCAATGACTTCAAAAAAGTCCAGAGGGAAGTTTAAAAAAATTGAAGCATGGGTGATTTTGCTGAATTGGCCAGAACTGCTTTACATCAAAGCAAAATTGAATATCGATCGTGTCCATGTCGAAAACAATGTCGAACAAGAGCTCAGAACATGTGACTCTAAAGCCTTGAGAGAATATGAATGAAATTGCACTTAAATCAAAAAAGGACTGAGTGGACAACTTTGCCAGAACCAGAACCAGACGCTCGCATGCATCACAAAACAATTTGGAGCCTTGTGATGCATGAATACAGGAAATGATTACTGCATTTATTCTTTTTTAACTTCAAAGACACATGCTGCAGTTACACATCTGAGGCTGTGCACATCAGTAATATTTCCATCACCAGGAAGCAGACAAAGCATTCGTTTCTGCAAGTTTTATGGTTTAAATCTTCTTCTATTGCAGTGACACAATGAATAACTTTGAATCCGACTCCGAACGGACCTGCTTTAAAAATGGAGAGGCAGCAGAGGATTTACTGACATGCAGAAACATGTGTTTAAAGGTTACTTTATTCTGTCCACCAACACTTTGCTAATTGCTGTCAGCAAAAGGATATAACAAACTTCAGGAAAAAGAAAACATTGCAGAGCTATCCCTAATTGAGTAATGGCTTAATATGTCTACCCTTTGCTGCCTGTGCATCCTCCCAGCAAAAGAAGAAGCCAGATCAATAAGATCAAACTAAAGATTCAGTCACCAGCACAGTCAGATGATAGTCACACACATTATAAACTGAAGCCGAGACACTAAATTAGAGTTTGGGTAATTTGCACATTCCTGATTAGATAATTCCTGTGGGTGCACTTGTGCAGTTGGATGTTGTGTTAGAAGAAGCCTCCAGCTCTGCTAAACCTACAGATACACTCCTGAAAAACAAAAAGAGGACCTGCCTCTGCCCTTGAGCTTTTTACCCCAAACATTTTTTTTAATATATCTCCCTGTAAGCTGCTATCAAAAGGCAGACAGACCTCAAACCCACTTCAGACATTTCAAAGAGCCAGATGTGGAGGGGGGTTCACCTTTCATTTGAATAACTGGAAATATTATTCCACCTTATAATAAAGACACGATCAGATGAAATGGTTTTGAGCATCTTGACACATCCACATCTCCCACAGGTTTAATTATGGCTCCATTCACACACAGAGAAGTTATTCAATCCAGATGTGGTGAAACGTCTCCATCTAAAACTATCCAGCGTCTTTCAGGTGTTTTTTTTTAATCAAGATTCACATCTGGAGCATTAATCCTTAAACAACTTGATACCTCGTGCAGCTGGAGCTACTATACAAACCGATATTGAACACATATATGAAGTAGTTCACTCACAGAAACGCAGATGAAGTCGTCACTTTCCACCTCTTTATCCTCCCGGGTGTCAGCGGGCTGTGGTGACCGCCGACGCGTCTCTGCCTCCCGGACCCACACGGCGGAGCGGCGGCGGTGAGAGAGACGAATATCCAGTGAAGTGATTCTGTCTCCTCCGCGTTACCCGGTGAACCAGCGCGTCCAGTACATCCTCGAGTCAACAGTGGAATAAAACACGAAAAAAACAGCTTTCTCCGCCTCCCGAGCTCTCCAGCCTTCTCCGCCCGCTCCAGGGAGCTGTGTGCCGGAGCTGTGCGTCGCGCAGGGCGGATGTTCGCTCCGCTCAGTCAGCGGGCTCAGGCTCTCTCTCTCTGCGGCGGAGCGTCCTCCCTCACCGCTGCTGAGGGGGAGAGAAGGTGGCCCCATGTTAGTGAGGAGCGTCACAGTTTATGACACCGTGCGTTTATTTGTAAGTTATGCCCTCAATAACAATGGAGAAGTATTGGGCTAAAGTTGGTTGATTGTACGGAGAAATAATAAAAGCTGCACCTGGGCACATAAAGAGCTTTTCTCTGTTAAAGGTCCAGTGGGTAAGATTGAGGTGAAAGGGTTCTATTGGCAGAAATTGAATATAAATCAATCTTACAAATGTTTTCTCTAGTGTGTTTCATCTAAATTGTACTAATTGTTGTTATATTCACTCTAGAATGGTCCCTTTGTATTTAAATGCTTTATATTTACATCAGGAGTGGGTCCTCTCTATGGAGGCCACCATGGGGTTTTTTTACAGTACACCATACTGGACAGACTTTTTAACTTGCATTTTAGAATATAGGACAAGATGGTGACTGTCCCTTGTACATTTGAAGGTCTTCTGCACAATAAGTTACCAACTGCCAGTAGATGTTAGCAGGTGTTAGCTTCCGTTAATGGATGTTAGGGTCATATAACCTCAATCGTACACCTAAGCATCATCAGGTGTTTGGCCTCATCAGGCCATGTTGGGAATTTCAACTCGGGAGGTTGGAGGAACCTCATCAATCCCGACTTCGAAAACCAATATCAACCTTAATGAAAGCTATAGGGTTTTTTTACTGTTTATTACCACTTCTGTCATTAAATGTATGTAGAATTTAGTGACATCTAGTGGTGAAGTTGCATGAAAACAACAATTTAGTTGAAACACACCGGTGAAATCATGACTAGGATTATTTTACAGTCCATTTCTGTAAATAGATTCCTTTCAAAAAATATCTTACACGCTGGACCTTTAAACTCTTTCAAACTAAAACTTCATGAAGAGACAGCGATAATTTTGCACTGTGACCACTGAAGGGCACTGAAAAAGGATTTGTATATAATTTTCTAGTTTAAAGTAGAAAATCTGTTTTGAACTTTTTATAAAAGTTTCAGAATTCTTCAATCAGTGTGTTCCATTTTTCCATTAAATAGCAGTTTAGCAAATAAATGTTTCTTGTTGTGATGATGATGGGTCGGACTTCACTTCGTTTTTGACAGGACAAGTGTTGTGCTGATAGTCACTTCTGGTTGCAGATCTGTTCTACCTCACTAATCAATACACCACTTTGAGCTATAAAATCAGATTGACGGGGTCTGTTGATGGAAAAGCTTCTTCAATGTTTGTCAAAATCTTTTTACCTGCGTTTTTTTTCCCATGACAGAAACTCTTAGGGCCACTATGTGACATAGATGGTGAAATAAAGAGGAAGCACAAACATTAAAAGAAAAAGCTGAAATGTTTTATGTCAATTAAATCAATCAAGGAGTGAAGATAAAATGTCCAAATCCAGCCATTGTTTATTTTATGAGCTAAAGAATATATCTTTTATTTATTAGTTACAATTGGATTTGTACAATCAAAAGAAATTAAAAAGTGTTTTTTTTTTTTGCCATGCAGCAGCTTCACCGCCCTCTTAACAGACCACTAATGGTACTAGACTGGAGAGTATAGATTAGTTCCTTCTGTTTCACGTATCTGTTGCATAGCTCATATTGCCACCCTCTGCTGTGAGTGTTTGACTGACAATATGGAGCTAACGGCCTATCTCTATCCCCCATCATTAATTAAACAGGACCCATGGCTGAGTGCTCTTCCTATTGCACAATTGATCCATTCCAAAGCTTGTAGCTCTTATCAGCTCTTAGATGCCATCTTTTGAAAAGCAGCATTTTAAAGATCCTTTTTACAACTTTGCTTCTTGGCATTGATATGGTGTGGAGAGCTTTGCTTATAGTATACACGCTGAAATGTATTTCAGAGGATATTGTTATTTCTCATGGTCTGTTACCTTAAGCTAAGTAGTTTTTAGGCTGTACTTCCCAGCACTGAATAATGGTTTAGATACAGGGCATATGGAATATTTGTCTTGCACTTTAAAACTTGCAGGGCAGTTAACCGTTCAGTGTTTTTGTTTCACTTCAGTGAATATACTTTATACCCTTCTCTGATTGCTAATGCAGTGTCATCCATTTTGCACAGAAGTCCCCATTTTACATGTGCAAACATAGCAAAAAAAACGGTCTGCCTTGAACCTACAGTAATATACTTTAATTTAAACCCTTTATAATGTGGAAAAACACAATTTGGATTAAAGAGATGGATTTCTGTCAGAGCTTCATGCGGCCAATTCATCTTGTGGGTCCCTGCAAATAAGATATGTAAGGTGTAATTAAACTAAAGATAAACCTGAAACATGCCCACGAAAACCACAGCAGCTAATCACAGGAATTTGTTAACAGGGCAATGTTAACAAGATGGCAGGTGTGTGCACGCTGCAGTATTTAAAACACACCATATTCCCTGTGAGACTACACTGGATTTGTTTTTTTTTTTTGAAGTACACTGACATTAATACCTGGGTGCATTAAATAATAATAGCACAAAAAGTTACATTGCAATAGCTGCAACAACAAATTTCCAGTTCATTCAAACCACTGCACCAACTTAAAGATTCTGACATTCTGGCACAAGACAGACGTATTATGAGCAAACATTTGAAGCTTTCATGCTGATATTAATATATGGTACCACTTTTCCTTCTTAATGGACACTTGCACTTTTAACCAACTGTAAACACATCATTTTCATTGGAAACACAATTACAGCTGAGAGGAGGATATAGAAATGAAAGCCTCAGCGAGTTAGTGTTTTTACTCTGCCACTGATGCTAAATAAAAGTGTCACACCCGACATAGAAATTGACAACATGTTGTTGGGCGTAAGAAGACAGCAGTCGAATATAATTAGAGAGGTGGCGCCCTGCTGCAAGAAGAGGATTAGAAATTAGGGCCTGACAACAAGTGGCAAGTGGTGACATGACAGGATGCAAGACTTTCTGAACTTTCAAGCCAAACTTTATGTGGTTTTGTTGCATTATAAATAGTGGCTAGCAGAAGAAAAGCACCAAAAAACAAATTTCCTCCCTGTCAAGGACCTAAGTTGCTGTGTGACATAGGTGTGTAGAAAGTTGTGGAGCTGGATTCCTGAATGGTGCTGTGTCAGAATGAAATTGTTCTTTTACAATTTAGATTCAAGTAAATCCAGACTAACTGTGGTGGAAACAATCAGACCCTTTAGTTACTGTAGATAATGGTAACTACCACACCAGCATCACTGGAACACATCACTGATCAAACCTGCTCTTCACAGAATCTTTCAGTCTGACTCTCCTTTTCTGCCAGTGTAAGAATTAACATTTTCACACTTCTAACAAAGCAAGTCTCTGACATATGCAGTTTGCAAGGTGGTGTGTGTGTGTGTGTGTGTTATGTTGCAGCTGCCTGAATCCTAATTTCCCAAGAAAAGGCTAAGGAGAAGGCAATCCTTGGCTTTTGAGCTAACAAAGCACTATTCACGAACAAAACGTCTTAATTTATCTTCATTACACACTCTGAGAGCTGTGTTGTGCTACGCTGCTTTCCACTTCACTACCGCTCGGACTGCTGCGCCAACTTCTGGTTCAGTCTGATAAAATGTTTGTCTGCATACAACACACATTTGTGCATTATTTTATTAGTTTAGTTTGTTTTAAGATTGAAGAAATAAGTCAAAGAAGAAAGGTTCATAATTGCATATGTTATATCTGTGTGCATATACATCTGCATGTGTGTGTGTGTGTGTGTGTGTGTGAGTGTGCATGCGATTAAGTCTTGTATCTGTATCTTGTATCTGCTTGTTCACACTCTCTTGCCATGTTAACGTCAGGAAAGCATGACGGTATAATACTACAGATGGTGAGTTACATTAACATGCTTAGCAAATTTAAGCAATTTATATTTATTGCTCGGCAGATGCTGACTAGATCGAGGTGGTAAATTATAATTTAGTTGCTAGACTGATTCTTTTCATTATTGGTAGCACCAACATCTGCTGGGTAGAGTGCCTATGCATGCAAGTGGCTGCATAAAGTCACCTGGAGGCTCAAAAGATTTAAAGTCGATATAAAGCCTGTGTAAAAAAGCAAGAATCATGCTACAGTTTGGATTAATAAAAGATCAAACTTGTCAGAGAGTTGGAGACGTAATCACAGTTATTTAAAGAGAGAACTTTTCGTATAATAGCTTCAAAATATTTAACTTTTTGGTGCAATGAGTTTCTTCGTCAAAGTCAGTTAAGCTCCAGAATAAATCACAATATGTTATATGTAACTTTCTTAAATGTACTTTAAGTAAATTAATAAATTGAATGAATCAATTCAATAGCTTGCCTTAAACATAATTCTTGTGGTAACATCTCAGGCTCCTCGAGACAAGATGAACAAGCATAAAATCAAGTTTATGAGGCTCCTCAGCATAAATTACTTGATCTAAATAATTGATTACTGGAGAAAAAATAGAAATGATAATCATGGTTTAAAAATGCAGGAAGAAAATCAGATTTAATTGCAAAATCGACTGCTTCAGAGTAATGTCAGGGACAAACAACCGTCAGCAATGACATGATTGGCCAATATTTTCTACTCAAAGCGTCTATAATCTTTTTTTTTTTTTAACAATGAATCAAATGTGAAAGGGGTTCTCTGGGGTGATAAAGAGCTACAGAGAATCATTACCAAACTCTGCAGTATATTTCAAATCTACAGAGCTTTGTAGCATCGTTTAGCTCATTGTTCTGCAGCCACACTCTTTCTGATTCACTCTCAGCGCTCTCATAGTGTCATTTTCAAAGAAGAGGCACTAGAAACCCAATGTTCAGCAGACTCAGCGTCTCTGCTGATCACAGCCGAACATTTAGCTGCTAAAGAGACAGCTATTCCCGCTGGGAGTTAATAAAGTACAAAAACAGAGCTAAGAACAGACTTGCTTCC